ACTATCTGTTCTGTAAGCCTTCACCTGAAGTACAATAAAATATTTAAAAAAAAAAAAAAAAAGAAAGAAAACTGAGGACAGTGTAAGAAAATGAGGAAAGAATGTGTCAGCTAAGCCAGGCAGGCAGGGTGCTTGTAAAAGTTTACAGCAGGTCTCCACAGTTTCAAGGAAGTGTTTCTTCACAAATCCCAAGATCCATGACTGTCATGGTGCCTCCATAATGAAATGTCCCTGCACTGCTCCTTCCACAGTGGTTACGCGAGGCACAGTTCATTCACAAGATGGCCACTACCAGGTCATGAAAAATAATATTTACAAAGGATTGTATCGACATGGAAACATACTTATTATAGAGAACACTGTCTTCAGAGTATTGTCTCACCTATGTTAAAAAAAAGTATGCACAGAAATAAAAATCAAAAGGAAATACATAGTATCTACAGTGGTTAGCTATGGGTGATTTGATTTTCTCTGTCCGGTGCTATAGTTTCCAAATACTATACAATGAGCACATACTACGGTGCTTTAAATGTGACGGGACAATTTCAAGACTGGAAAAACAGTTAATTATGAAAAGAAAGGACTTTTAGAAGTACCAGAGTAATATCACATGATTTATCCTAACACTACATCTTAATCTTTCTTTTTGGTGGCAAAAAAACTTCTCTGGATTCAAAAAGAAAAGTTAAACCTGTTAAAAGCAACAAGAAGGTCCAACACCACTCCACATTGGATTAATTCAACCTTCGCAGCACATTAATCACTAAAACGGCAAGAAGCCAAATGATTGTTTTCATAAAACTTCTAATTTCTAGAAGGGGTTGAAGACAATAGACATAAAATCATTTCAGCATTTCTATCACATTGAAACAACTTAATTTTAGTAACTGTCATATTTTTAAATGTTTTTGTTAATAACACTAAAAGTATTCATTCACTGAACATACTACGTATTTGTTTAAAAATAATGTAATCCATAAATGTGTGTGAAATAAAAGCAGACAACTAGAGATTTCATCTTAAAGTACTTCAGGGCAAACTCTTATATTTCACCACACTTCTCAAATTACCTGGCATTCCCCACCCCTCATCCAACCCCGCAGCCTACCAGCCCTATAGGGCCAGTCAGGAGACGCCCCACGCCTAAACATCACCAAGAGTGGTCTTTCTTTTCTGGTTTAGCTGCCACTAGGGGGCGCCAGAAGCATGTGAGGACGGCAACCTCTCCCTAGATTAACAAAGTGGAAGTCACCCATGGGAACTGGATTCTTCTGGGAATAACGAGGAGCTAGTGCCTCCAAAATCACAAGGCAGCCACGCTACAAACTGTACAAGCCATTGTTCTAATTAATTCTGGAGCGACTTCAGTACAGTGAAATAAAACCCTACCTTCCTCAGCCACCTTTGCCCGCCAGATAGCAATGATTTCTAGTACAAGTAAAATTTTAAATACATAAAAGAAAATCTTGTCTCTTTCAACAGATCAGCTTCAAATCTGAAGGAAAGGTGAATGATTTAGACACAGCCCAAGATTCACATGTTCTTTTTACTTACTGCAAAAAAAAGTCATAAAAGCAACAAAGTAACACAATTTTAAAATTTCAATCCTACCTCCCTAGCAAATAAATGTTTTCATCTCTCTGTTCCCTTTCAGTCCCTATTCAAATAAAATACAATTTTATCAGTGCCAAATATTGCTATTGATATAACTTCATTCCAAATCACAAAATTTTAAAACTGAATCAAGCTTTAGAGACCAGAGACCAATTCCCCCCCATTTTATAAATGCAGGAACTGAGACCCAGCCAGGTATTACTTGTATACAGGATCTCATTTCATCCTCATAACAACCCTGTGAGCTAAGTGTTGTTATTGTCCTGATTTCAGAGACAAAAATACCAAGACCCAGAGAGGTTAAGAAATTTGCTCAAAGTCACACAGGTAGTCGCTGTAGTACCCAGGCTGTCTGGCTTACTGCCTTGCTCAGGCACACAGGGGTGGTTAGCGGCAGAGACGGGCTCACAGTCAGGACTCCAGAATCCCAGTCCAGGAATCCTTTTGCTTTTCAAGGTAAGATTATTCTAGTATTCATGCCAGAAGGTTGTTGTCGTTTTTGTTTTGTTTTGAATCTATAGTGTTCTTTCACTAACATTCTACTCTCTAAAAAGAAAATTAGATTTTACAGAGCTCTCCACCAGCAAGGAAGATGACGCATACCTGCTCCCCAGTGGGAAGAGAGAAAACCTCTGGTGAGGGACCAGCTCCTTCCCCGAGCGTGGCGTAGTAAGCCAGGGCTGCCTCCCTCAGCCCTTCTGGGTCATCTTCCAGAATATCTACTGGGTAGATGCCCGCTATAGGGATAAAAGGTAAGAAATGAGATTAGTTTTACTTTCTTTGGTTAAACGGAAAGTCAATTATTTCTTGAAGATTAAAAAACAAAACACCGAAACTGAACACTTGTCTCACACACGGACACTGCAGGAAGCAAAGACTCCTCACCACATGAACCAAGCAGCGCCTCCTACTGGTCAGATTTGGCCCCCAGGCTGTCCCTATAGGCCTCCCCTGCTCCTTTCTGGGCCGTTCCGATAGATCCAAGCCTGATGCTAGCTCCTTACCCAGACACCACTTCAAAAGTGTTACGCAGACGGACTCAGCCTGCATCACCTCTCTCCAATCGTCCCTAACTCAGTTCAGGACCTCAGCATCTCATAACAGCCTCCCGCCTCTCGCCCTGGCATCCATCCTCCACCCCTGCTGCCATCAATTAAAATAACAACAGCAGGAAGGTTCCCTGGGCTCCAAATGCCAGCAGGACGCTAAGTGCTTCACACCTCCCCTTACCTCACTGAATTCATCCTTAACTCCATTTTACAGAGGCAGCCAGAAGATAAAAGGAGCCCCAGTAAAGCAAGGGTTAAGTGCTCGGCTGCTAACCAAAAGGCTGGCAGTTTGAAACTACTCAGTGGCTTTATGGGAGAAAGACCTGGTGATCTGCTCCTGTAACAATTACAACCTAGAAAACCCTATGGGGCAGTTCTCCTCTGTCATATGGAGTCCCTACGAGTCGACTCTACCAGGCCTCGAAGGCGTTTACAGTGTCGTGTCTTCCCCTGCAGCACCCAACGTGCTCCTAGACTCCGCTTCGGGCTCCTCTTCCCTCAGCCTCACCATCTTCAAGGCCCTTCTCAAAGGCCAGCATTCCTGGGGAGCCTCCCTTGAGCCCCAAAAGACAAAGGCTCTCGGGGTGGGGGGGTCATTGAGTTCTGGATTCAAATCCCAGCCAGGCCTAGGATCGGAATTAATACACCTTCCCCATCTCCCCTGCCCTGTGGGGCTAATTCACACACCTCAACTCTTGTGGGGGAGGGGGCCAGCCATGTCACCCTCCACCTCCCATTCACACACAAAGAGAGAGCCTCAGGGTATGTTCAGTACACAGCTTCTCTCCTGTCCACACTCCCACCCCACAGACTCATCCTTCTGTCTTCTCCATACTAAGCACTTTGTAGATTTGGGAGTGATTCAACTGAGCTCTCCATTGAAACCGCATGGTTTCTTCTAGTTGGCCAAGCGGTTTCCCACAGGTATGAAAAAGGTCCTGTGGGTTGCACAACTTGGAGAATGTAATCAATGTCACTGAATTGTATGTGTAGAAATTGTTGAACTGGTATATATTCTCAACACCAAAAAATAAAGTAAATCATTTTTAAAAAAAAAAAAAGGTCCTGTGCATGATGTTCATATAAAATAAGAAAAACCAGGAAGGAGAACTCACTCACGCTGCAGCCTTGGCTGGAAATTAGCTTCAACAGCTACCTTTGCCAACATCCCCAGGAACACCGTCTTAAAGGGAAAGGTAGAGATCTGACTTCCATGTTGACTCTCTGTTGTTTTTTGGGAAAGATGTTTGCCAGAACTGGGCCGCTAATCTGCTCCAGTGACTTTGCAGAGTCCCAGGAGAAGCTGAACTTTGCCCCTCTCAATTCCCCTTGACCCAAGCGGACTGGGAGGACACTGGACTTCGGAGCTTGGAAGCAGGGTGTTTCAGGGACCCAAAGCCTCGCCCAAGGCCACCAGGTCAGGAGGGTTGGCCCTCCCGGGGCCCAGGGCCGCTCCTGCCTGGTTCCCGCAGGCTGCCGAGGGTTGCCTGGCATGGGTTCTGGTCGCGTGTGGTTAGGAGAAATGCAATGAATGTGTTTTGTTCCCTCCATACCATGAAATCTTCCCCTCTAGATTAAGCCCCCAGGGGTGGCAGACCCTTAAAGAATTCCGAAGACAGTATTCCCAGGACACCCGAGCCCTGCCGGCCCATGCTGCAGGGGCGGGCACGCAGGGTCCTCAAAGTACTGAGGCCATCAGAACCAGAGCGCGGTGGCCGCGACTGCAGGAGACGGCCCAGCCGGAGCGGCACAGCTTCATCCTCCTCGACGGAGACCACGGCAAACGCCCGGGAGAGGGGGACGGTGACGAGTGTTAACTGTCACAGAATAACGTGGCACACGCACTCCCTTGTACAGACCTATGCCCTCGGGAAGGAGGGTCCCCGCAGCAGGCAGGGGCCGCACCTGAACCCAGGCCATTCTCCAGCCTTTTTTGTTTTCATTATTTTTCTTCCCTCTGCGGGGAATTCCCCATGGGAAAAGTTCCGCAGCCTTCTTCCTCCACAGAAGTTTGCGTTGGCCTTCTGGGAAATTGGGTGAGAGTGAAAACAGGAGCTGCCTAAGGCGGGAGAGGGGAAGGGGCATCCATCGCCCACCTGGCCCAGGAAGGAGGACCCCTACACAACCCCAGAGAAAAGAGCCCCTCGGCAACCTCAAAGTCCCCCTCCCCAACCCAGGAGGAAGGAAGATTACTCCTCCCATTAGAAGGAAAAGACCTCCGTCCCAAAAGAAGGAAGCCCACAGAGTTCCCGCCGCCTCTTCCCTTCCAAACCTTCCCTCCTACCCACTCCCTGCCGCCAGCCGCATGGGGCAGTGCCCAGGCCCTTGGGGAAGTAAACAAGTCTCTGGCGCTTTACGCACGCACGCGCTTTACGCGCCACACTAGCTGGCGATGGAAGGCAGACCGAGGCACGGGTTTCCAGATGTGAAACGCTAACAGGCTTTAATGGCTTGAACTGAACAGGAAATATTTTCCCAAAGCCAAAAGAATGTAATCTTTTCGGTACAATATAAAATACTTTTATGAAACAGGCACACAGTTGAAATTATAATTCACTGCAGACTGTAGAGAAATTGAAATCCCCAAGCTAACTACGAGTTTAAGAACTGCCTTTAAGCATATATTTGTATTGTCACTCTAAAAACAACAATTGGTAAATTTTAAAGCACTCTTCTCGGGAAAATGCTTATATCATTCAAGATCTTTGTATCAAAGCTGAGGTCTCAGGACTGCATATGGCCCTATGCCCACTGGCTGGGCACCACTGTCTGGCAAGACCTAATGCTTGAGGTCTTTGCTATGTAAACAGCAATGCCAAATAATGAAGATTTTGAAAGGGGTCAGTGCTTTGCACTTAAATCACTGATTCAGTATCACTTGCAGAATATTCTCGCCAAATACATCACCATAAACATTAGGAAAATGCTTTCATTTTAGCAAAGTTCAATTTTTTTTCTCATATGGGACTATTATTATTAGAAACATTAACGAAGATATTCAAAATTTTACTAGTCCTGCTCTTAAGAACGGACTTTCCTGAAAGCTTCTTCCTGGCAGTAACTACGCTGGATTATGTCACTGGAGAGGTTGGCTGTAATCACTGGATTTTTTAATAATGTGTATGCTCATTAAATTACAGTAAGAACAATTCTTACCCAGGGTAATATATTTAAAAGAATTTAAGAAAACTAGAAAGTAGTATTCCACTTTTGTTTTTAAGAAATGGTCAACAGTAGATAGCCCCTGTGCAATCTTAGTTTTTTGGTTTTTGTTTTGCTTTTTATTTTCACATAAGTTTTTCTTTTCCTTCTTCTTCATAAATCCATTTTCCTCTAAAAGGAACTTGTTGTAGAAGGAATCCTTATCATAGAAGAAATCTGGAGGGGGGTTCAGTGTCTAATTCCAAGCTCAGCAGGGAGCACAGAGATTCCCTTCCAACCAGAAACAAATCTCCCTCATCCCTTTTCCAAGGACCTCGGATAAGACAGGGAAGCAGGATGATGGAAGCTTCTGTGGGATTCTGAACCCAGATGTTCGGCATACCCACAGGGGTGGGGTGGTGTCTAAAGCAAGGGGCTTCCAAATGCCATCTCGGTTGCTAAGAATTCAGGAGCAGGAGTTAACGAAGGCCTGAATCCTAGTGAGGCGTTGGCATCACCGCACTGTCCAAGCCGCGGAACTGGATGTCTTGAAGCTGCATGCTTTACGAAAACTCAGTCTTCACAAACGCAAACTTCCTCCAGAGCCTCCAAAACATTCAGCCCAGGATGCCTTAAAACTGAGAATTATTTTTAACTGAAAGTATGATTATGTTTAAGAAAATATATAGTGCTGTGGTATCCAGTGAGGTATACTGGTCATCGTGTGAGAAGTGCCCAGCACTGATTCACTGTCAGAAAATCTAAGGTTTGTGCACGTATCACTCCAAAGTTCCTTGTATCATACCAGTCGTTATGGATTGAATTGTGTCCCCCCAGAAATATATGTTGAGGTCCTAGTCCTTATGCCTGTGAATGTGACCCTGTTTGGAAATAGGGGCTTCCTTTTGTTATGTTAATGAGGTCATACCAGAATAGGGTGGGTCCTAATCTAATCCCTTTTGAGCAGTGTCTTATATAAAGAGCAGAACAGACACGGAGACATACACACAGGGGAAACAGAGCATGTGAAGACAGCCACGCATGGCAGTCGCGTCTACAAGCCCAGGAACGCCAAGGATCGCTGGCAGTGAAGCTAAGGCATCCCTGAGGCAGGGGTGCAACTGGTTAAGCACATGACTACTAGCCAAAAGGCTGGCGGTTAGAACCTGCCCAGAGGCACCTCAGAAGACAGGCCTGGCAGTCTGCTTCTGAAAGGTCACAGCCTTGAAAACTCTATAGGGCACAGTCCTACTCCACACACATGGGGCCACCAGGAGTCAGACTCCACCTGAAGGCAACTAACAACAACTAGAAGATGAAATTGACAAAGAAAGACCTCCCTGAATTTGGGCTTCTAGCCTCCTGAACCAAAAGAAAATAAAATTCCTATTCTTTAAAGCTCCTCCCTGGTGGCATTTTTTGTTGCAGCAGCACTGGGTAACTGAGACACCAGCGTTCCCCAAATGTGTCCTGTGGAACAGTCGTTCCACAGATGCGCTGAGAGAGGGAGTTTCTGAGTTTAGAAAAGGGTGGCATGCTATCTCTTCCTGGGTAGCTCAAGCAGTTAAGCACTTGGCTGCTAACTGAAAAGTTGGAGGTTCAAGTCCATGCAGAGGTGCTTGAAAAGAAAGCCCTGGCGATCTACTTCTGAAAAATCAGCCATGGAAAACCCTATCGAACACAGTTCTTCTATGACACGCAAGGGGTCGCCATGAGTCAGAGTTGACTCAATGGCAACTGGGGGCATGCGATCTATGGCCCTCCACCATCACTGCCTGAAGTTCTACACGCCTATCAGCAATTCAGGCATCTAGAACTCCTGCACAGTGGAACGTGCTCCACCCAGTCCCAGATATATTTAACTAGGGATCCCTTGTCCCAGGACACTAATTGACAGCTGACAAAACACACTTTGGGGAATAGTGCATTGAAATAATGCCGGGGCAGGCACACTGATGACCATCAGACAGACAGAAAACAGGCAAGTGTCTGGAGCCCAAGGTCAGAGCAGAGGATGCCCCCACCAGGGAAGGCAGCCCCCCACTACATAGAGGAGTAGAGAACAGAAGGAGAAGCAAATAAACACTTAGTTTTGTTGTTTTCTGAAGAGAATCTTATTGCCAAAATATTCTTAGCAAAGAATTAAAAGAAAAAAAAAGTTGGAAGACAGCACGTAGAATATGTGAGAATTTTTTAAGCAGATGAGCAAAATTGTCAGGGTACAGAGGGAAACACCGTGGAAGGTCTGCAGGTGGCTGCAGTGGAGTTTTTATTACCCAGTAATTGACAGGGAGCCCGTTGCTCCCTTATCTCATATTTCATAGTAGCCAACTCACAACTTGTCATTGCCTTGGCTGAAAATAAATCATTTGTCCCAAATCTAAGATGTTAAAATAGGCAAATGATTTTCTGTGCCACCCACACAAAAGTTTATGTAAACCTAATTGCTTTTAATATGAAAGACTCCTAGTCTGAGCGTTGGTGCCTCTTACTGTTAGGTAAATGATACAAGGGGAAAACTACTTTTTTTGCCCTGAATCATACAAAAGGATAAGAGGTAGGACTAAAACATACTGCTCCTTTTGCTTTCAAAGAGGTGTCACATGTGGGGACAAATGTGGAGCCCTATTTGGGGCAGGTCCCTCTGTGGCACAGGTAGTTAACTCATTCAGCTGCTAACCAAAAGTTTGGAGGTTTGCGCAAAGCTAAGAAGTTTCCTGAATATAATCAAACACTTTGAGAGACAGAGTTGCAGAGGTAGGGGTCTGGGGACCATGCTTTTAGGGGACATCTAGGTCAATTGGCATAACAAAGCTTATTAAGAAAATGTTTTGCATCCTGCTTTGGGGAGTGGCATCTTGGGTCTTAAAAGCTTGCAAGCAGCCATCTAAGATGTATCAATTTGTCCCAACCACCTGGAGTAAAGGAGAATGAAGAACACCTAAGACACAAGGAAAGTAGTA